CTTGGTGCTGTATAGAATATCAGGGTAGGCAAATTAATGAGAGGGCTATACCACCCTCTGTGCCCACCCTGGTCTCAGTAAAAGAGGCCAGATCTGCTACTTCATCCAAGATCAAGTCTTGGATTAGCTGGGACTTATTTAAAGCAGATCTGGCATTTATCAGCATTAAGGATAGAGTAGAGGGTTGGCTGAGCAAGTTACCTTGATTCTAGTCACTGACAACAGAGTGAGAACAAGGGACAGCCTTCAACCATCTGGCCCCAACTCTTTTGGGTTTAATTGCTGGGTTTAATCCCTAGAGAGGATACTACCAAGGTTTGCTATGGAAGTGACCAAACATCTATCCTGTTTAATAAAAAGGATAATTTCTTGCTAAGAAACCATAATATGGATGTATTATTATAGTGCATAACTAAGATTTTGATAAGGATAGTGTAGAACTGTAAGACAGATAGAGACCTGGTGGGGTAATCTAAATACTATCTGGAAAGAGAAAGAAAGAAAAATGTGCTCCTTGCACAAATTCTAAAATAAGTGCGAGTAATAAGGGTGGGTAATAGTGGCTCAGAAAAGGTAAGACCTGTCTAGACCTGCATGGTATCTTCAAAACTAATACAAGCATAATCTTATTAGAAATGTGTATACTATAACTAGTATGATCTTGACACTTGCTTAATCCTTTCTTGCATTCAGGCATTCTTCAACCTAATACTGTGGACACATTTAGAGGGGAATGTCTAGCCGTTGCTTCCCATTGTCACATTCTTCATGGCTACTGTCCCCAATCTAAAGGGGAAAAGCTCCTGATCACAAATTGTCTTTAAACATGAAAAAGTATTCTGAAAAAATCTGGTTTCTTTCTTGTGTAGAGCTTGCACACAACAGGAGTGTTTTCCTTCTCAGATCCGGTCCTATAATCATGAAGACCATGTCAATGGAGGGTGAGGGTGATTGGTCTAGGTGCTCCACTTTCAGTGTGTTCAGAGTGCTTGATCACTTCTGAATAGGAGTCTGTTGTTAAAACAATATTGTTGTTTAGTGTCAGAGGATTACCTTTGTGTCACTACTGAATTGTGATATTGTGGTTAGTTCACACTGCAGTTTTGTTTGCCACATTGAACACTTAATGCATGTAGCAACCTATGAAACCCCAAAAATTGTTGGACCCCAATACTCATCAACTCCAATGGCCAACAGTCATCTGCACACTTGATAATAAACCTCTTTTAATTTTTACATGGTTCATTTTATACAAATGTTGCAACACCAAGTGTAGGATAGAGCCCTGCACCATTTCACTGGAGATTTCTTCCTGTTTATTCTTGAAAGGGAGATTTGACAAAATCACAAATGGTAGATGTTGCTGGACCTGTTGACATTGATCTCTAAATAGAAACTTTGTGAGACCTCACTGGAGGCAAGCTGTGAAGAACTTACTCTTTAGAACTATATCTCCCGAGTTCATGCTAGCTGGCAGATCCTGGAAGCTATATTCCAGAAGAACAAGTCTTCCGCAATCTGCTAGAGACAACCAATGGGGAAGATGATGGTTGCCTTCTTAAGTTTGCATGCTTCCTAGTGGTACCTAACTAGCAACTGTTTGGAACAGGACAATAGATTGGACTGCATTTTGGTTCTGTTTACTATACCAGGATGCTCTCCTTCTTGACATTTTTTCTCCTCTGGAATATAATTACTCTCTACCGATAGTTCCATCCTTGGGCAAAGAATAAAGCATTGCATCAGAAGGCCCTTTGGATTCTTCTTAACCATTAACTAGAAGCAGAGATGGCTGTTCCAATAATTTGTCATATTTCAGTAGGTATGTTCGCGTGCATGACAAAAAGTGTCCATGTTCAGAAATAGTAGCCTACATTCAGTTTTTCTTCTTCTTCGGTTTCATTTCTACAGCCTCCTTTGCAAAGTACATCAATACAGATAAATGATAATGTACAGGAGGGAGTGCAGAATAAAGCTAGAAAAATAGGATTCTTGCTGCGTGTGCTAAAGTAATACATATTGTGGAGACAGCAGCTGTACCCCCCATCAGATCCTGTGCGTAAGACCGTGAGGCTGCTGCCAAGCACAGCAGAGGCCTTTTCCATTGGATCCTGAATGTCCACTTCAGGCAAAACTTCCCCAGAGCTGCAAATTCAGTCCAAGTGGCCTGGGCCGCACGCCAACAGCAACAGCTCCAAGATTAATGAGTCAGTGTCACCCACTTTGCATTCCTAAACAGTGAGCAGAAAATTCCTGCTGGAGCTTGCAGCCTACGCCAGGCCCAGCCCTGATGCAAATAACATATGTTGCTATCTACTATTCATCCTGGGAATGCGCCAAGCTTCGTACCAACAATAATTGGGAATTTAAGGACACCAGATTTGCTCAGAAGGAATCGATAGGGTTCCCGGAATTGTACATTTACCTGCTGCTGCCCAGGGTTTTGCTTGGAGCCCCGCCCATATCAAAGTGAGACAAACAGGAGCAGAACAGAGTCCCTCAACATGGCTAAGTGCCTAACAGTGATTAATCAAACAAGGTGCCGGAGAGAAGGAAGAATATCTTTCTGGAACCCTGCTTTTCTGAAGCTAGCTGCCTCACAGCTGACAACAGCTGCTGGCGAAAGGCAACTTTCCAAGGGCAAAGAGAAGGAATGGAGAGGCAGATCCATGATTAGATTCAATGGCACAGATTAGCTGCATTCATTGCTGTTTTGGGCGAGAGATCATTAAAGCCTGTCTTTGTATGGATACTACAGGCAAATTAGATTCAATGGCACAGATTAGCTGCATTAGCTGCTTTGGGCGAGAGATCATTAAAGCCTGCCTTTGTATGGATACTACAGGCAGTCTTTAGCTGAAGTTACAAAATTATCTCGTGCATTGTCGTAAGCTGTAGCATCTATGCCATGCTGTTTCCGCTCTAATGCAGCAGAAAGCAGACAGATACATGATTCACCCATACCTTAAATGTATATGGCAGGAACCCAAGATGGGATGTTACTCCTGTAGCCATACAGCCTGCTGCAAAACGCTTGTCCAATGGGTTAATCTGGCCAGTTTTGCAGCCCACGTATCAGTAATACAGCAAAGGTACAGTCACTGTGCTGCCTCTGGGCCTGAGCTGACCCATAGGCCAGGTGCGCGGTGGTGTGGAGACTTCTCAGGAAATGCAATGAGAGGCCTGTGTAGAGTTCACTGATCTGGAAAATTTAATCCAAGGTGTTGCCTAACCCGGTTCTCAGTCTGGTGGCTCTATTATAGTACCGCTCCTATCATTCCCCCCCCCCAGCATGGCTAAGAGCCATGGAAGCTGTAGTCTCTCACAGCCAAAGGACACCATACAGTCCTAATCAAATGCACACAAAAGCAATCTGCAAAAGCCTCATGGGCGCAGTGGTTAAACTCCAATACCGCAGGGAAGACTCAGGTTTGTGACCAGAATTCAATCCCATCAGCCAGCTCAAGGCAGACTCAGCCTTCCATCCTTCCAGGGTTGGTAAACAGAGTACCCAGTCAAGGCAGACTCAGCCTTCCATCTTTCCATGGTTGGTAAACAGAGTACCCAACTAGCTGGAGGTGGGAAATGAAATTTGTAGCCTCTATAATACAGTTGTAAATTGTCCAGAGAACACTTTAAGCGCTATGGGGCACTATGAAAGCAGGACACCATGCTGTTACAGTCTGAACCCATCTAATCTTTCAATACTGTAAAACGGATTCCTACACTCTAGGATAGAAAGCATTGCCAAGACAAAAACATTAAAATGGTCTACTCTCCACACGAGGCTAATTAAAGATGCCCATCCACACTGTGGTTTTGAATACTACTGAAAGCAGCCACAGAAGCCCCATCCTGTGACATGTCTGCTGGTTTGAGATGTGGGGAAACAGCGGCACTCTATTGATGTTCTCCAGAGTGGTTCTGAGCAGAAATAAGGCAGAAAAGGAGATGATAGAGTCGGGATGTAGGTTTAGCTGCTGCAGCACTCTTGCTTTGTTTTGCTGCCCAGTTTTCAAATCAAAAGATGAGGCTGCTTATGCAACTGGTGCAATTCCTGATCAATAGACAAAGTTGTGAAAACATCAAGGAGCGCATGCAGGGAGAACGCACAGCATAGCACAGGCCCCACAGCCCCACAGTCAGAACAAACTTTTGGACAGGCTCAGTGTAAATGAATGGCACAGAGGGTCAAATGCTTAAAAATGACAAATAATAACCATGTTGTGCTGTGCAAGTGATTGGCCAAGCAGTGGCTGCTACAAACATTATGATCATGAATCAATGTATACTACATCAGGGAGGATAATGGTAGGATGGACCAGAAGACTATCTGAGCCTCAAAGTCCTTGGAGTACTAAATGGCTAGAGCTCCAGTTTTCTTGGCCACCATGTAACCATTTTTGTGCCTACTCATTCCTTACTCTCCCTTCTACCCCCTGGTAAGCCAAGGGGATGTTGGGATGGTGCTGAGCTGTGCAACTGCTCAGCACCATCCACTTTTTTCAAAACTTCACATAAATGACTCTGGCTCTGATTTTTTACATACAGAACTGCCAAAGATATTTCAAGGAGACTCCACCTTCAAAGTCTAGAGTTAACCAGAGCCATATGTATTCCACAATTCAGTGACAACAGGACCTTTGAAGCAGTTATATTCAACCTGTCACCAAAACTCAGCAACACATTTGGGCAGAGGGGCCGCACTTGGAACAACTGAGCCCTGGACCCATCAAGGCTGCCCATCCCTGCTATAAAGCATCTTTGGGGTTTTTTTCCCCACTCTTAAGAATTGCAGGGGCTGGCTTGAAATCTTAGGAACTGATACAAGGCAAATCCATTGCATTTCTCTGCAAGCGATGTTTCCTTTAAATGAGGTTCAGCTCCAAGGTGCTTGTGCAGTTTTTGATTTTCCCATGACCGGCAGAAAGCGGGCAACATTATAAAGAACATAAAACACAGGCCACACTAATGACACAGGCTGCGACAACCCATTTTTCTTGTATTTGAATTTTTAATGGTTTTTAAGCATATAATACGTAGTTGACACGAAAGCTTCATTCTTCCTTTTTTTTCTCTAAGCAGCTACAGTGGTTTCCAGACGCCATTCTAGCATTCATCTTGCTCTTAACCCAGACATATTCTAGCATCCATCTTGCTCTTTCTCCTATACTGCTTCCGTATGTTTATCTGCATCTTTCCTATGCTGTGCATCATGGGCCAGCACTCAAGTAGCTATGCAATGAACTAAAAGGAAAGTGAAGTGCATTATAACCAGGATGGCCAGATGTTGTTGACTGCAACCCCCATCAACCACAGGGAGCACAGAGAGGATTTAGTTATTTAAACTATTTCTTATTTGCTCTCCAAACAATGTACAACAAAATATAATGGATGATAAGAGCTGTAGTGCAACAACACTTGGAGGGCCTAGTATTGCCCATCTGTGCATAGCATTTGCTGGATCTGTGGCTTTCAACTTACCTTATGTCTCAAAAGGACAGGAAACTCCATCCCATTTAAGCTGAATCACTTCTTGAGTAGCAATAGGATCTCTAAACTAGTGATTCCCAGGTTCCAAGATGTCCTTGGATTACAATTCTCATCATACCTGACTATCTGCCATGCTGGCTGGCTGGGGTTGATTACTGTTTGACCCAACATTTGGAAAACATTATCTTTAGGAAAGAGTTATAGACAGAGTAGGATTGTTGCATGTTTCCTGTGCGTATCCTGATTTCAGTATAATGCTTATGTGTTAAAGGAGTCCAACAAAAAGAGGACTACTTTAATCCAACAGGAGCATCTGTTACCAGCTTAGGAACAGAGAGAGGATCAGATAGTAGGAGACCTTAGCTCAGAAGATCTGGAAAACTAACTTTATGGAGCGAGAGCATAGTTCAGTGGCATCATACATACATGGCAAGCATAAAGTCCTGCTTCAATTCCTGCTGTCTCAGGGAACAGAGAGGCAAAAGATTCCTTAGTGCCCAAGATCTGGTAGAGGCACAATACAGGACTAGATGGACAAATGCAATTTCCTATGTTTTTCCCATCAGACATGAAGTGGCTCAGGATTTTCTTGCTGTTTGTAACATTTTTCCAATACACAGGAGCCCATCTGGAAGATATTTCTTTTCATCTCAGTCCAGGTGTTGTGATCTTTTGGTCAACCTTAGAGCAGCAAGGCTTATGCTACACAATGGCCATTCCGCTCTTCACTGCTCTTGTTTTTGTTTGTTTTGTTTTAAATTATCATCTTATAAAACCCACACACACAACTTAAAAAAACCCAAAACAGCCACTCGCTTTCTTTTCTCAACACTTTGGAAGTCCTGGCTTGTTATGCTCTGAAGACAAAAAAAGAGAGAGGAGGTTCAGCGCTCTCTCCAGAAAACCAGGCTTCCCTTGTCCGCCTCTCATAGCAACAGCCAGATCCGCAGGCACACAACAAAGAAAAATCCAATGGTGTCCCTTTATTGCTTTGTAACAGTTCTGTATGAAGGCAGCTTTGGGGAGCAGCAGAAGGAAGCCTGAGGAGGAGTCACTCATTCAGTAGTGAGTGAGAGAAGTACCATGACAATGATGCCGGTACACAGGAGGAGGACTTGTTGCACCGAGTTCCTAGGCAAAGGGATGAGAAAGTGATGTCATGGATACATATCTTGTTGCACCGAGTTCCTAGGCAAAGGGAGGAGAAAGTGATGTCATGGATACATATGGCAAAAGAGAGAGATTGTTGCACCGAGTTCCTAGGCAAAGGGATGAGAAAGTGATGTCATGGATACATATAGCAAAAGAGAGAGAGAGAGGGAGAGAGAGACACACACATACACACACAGAGTATTTTTAAAGCACTGAACGGCATTTCAGTGCTGTTCAGTGCTGCCAAGAGATGCAGTTAATCTGTTAAAACAGATTTACATGCACACACAGGAGGGACCCTTATCCCAAAAGTTCTGGAGGAGCAAACGTTTCTTGCCTTTTTCCATCTTACAAGAAGATTACAGTAACAGAACACAATGAAAACATATAACCTGTGGCACAGACCCAGTGGAGGAAAAAACTGAGACTATATCGACCAAACCTGAGAATCCTGTTCCCTTCAACACAGGAACCAATACATTTGGTTTGTCATCTGAAAAGTCACCAAGTAACAAAGCCCATGTTATTCCTTACAAAGAACACTCAATAAAGAAGTTGCAAGGACAGACAGGGGCCCTGCTCATGGTAGGCTCCTGACAAGAACTTCAGTGAAAACACACACGTCGTGTCCTTTTCTTTTCCTAATGAAGGAGGTTTTACCTAAGGATTTCTGGTTGTAGGGTTGTTACACCTTAACAGCCAGCACCAGTACCACGAATCTGGCCAATACTATAACTGCCAGCTAGTGAAGCTCTTATCATTGCAGCAGGAGGGTCCAAGGGGCCAGCATTGACTGTAGTCACACTTCTGCATTCTTGGTTAAAACTGGTACTAGTGTTGCAAATCAGTCCCAGTTAATTAAAACTGTAAGACACCAATAGAAAGAGATTTCCTCTCCTCACCATGCACTCAGGCCTAACTTTCCCCACCTCTCGCACTTTTCAAAATAGTTCCTAGAAAATCTTCCAGATTCTTACATTTTTTTGTCCTTGCTAATCATGAGTGCTAAGACAGGAACTTAGAGTGGAATATTTATTTATTTATTTGATTTATATCCCGCCCATTTGGTATATTCTACCACTCTGGGCGGCGAATATGAGAGAGACAGCTGACCTGCAGTGAGATAAAACACCCAGGTGAGGGTGGGGAAACATATAGCTCCAGACAAATTATCTTACTCCCCTGGTAACTTTCTACTCATTTTTATTTTTTAAATTTATTTTTATTTATTTCATTAGCTTGTACACCACCCCATTAGTGGAATGCACTATTCTGGGCAGTTCATAACAAGCAAAATAACAGATAACAAAAATGTGTGAAACTATAGAAAGACATAAAACCATCAGAACAGCAATAATACAAGGACACTTTTCTCTACAAGAGTGAAAGCAGAGGCGCAGCATCAGGCAGGCTCATTATGGAAAGCCTCCCTAAAGAGCAGTGTTTTAAGCTGCCTTCTGGACCTTAGCTGGAGGGGGGGACTAACCACAGCTCTACTGGCAGCTGGTTCCATAGAGTTGGTGCCACCGCAAAGAAGGCCTGGCTCCTTGTTGAAGACTTCTGGGGCCCCTCGGAGTGGCAACAAGGAGGAGCGTAGCCAGGGAATATCTGGTCAGTAAATGGCCAGAAAACACAATCTTTCTAATTCTCTGCATTTTCAAGAATTATGTTGTTTCTTCCTTAGCCGAAAGAGATGGATGTGATGAAGTGGTCTCTGACTTTTGACCATTAAGGGTTTCTTCACAAATAGCCATGACAAAAAGCACTTACCAAGGATTCTTCTCCTCTAAAAGATCAGGCACCACATTCACCAAGGCAATATATAAAAATCCCCCAGAGGTAAATGGGAGAATCCAAGCGATGGTTTCCCCTGAATGGATAGTGAGAAATGTTAATGACCAAGACAAAAGAACGGAAATAGAGAAATAGATTTGCGCAAATTAAGACACGTAAGGGCCCCTTTGCCAATCCGTTCTGCATTCTGAGACTCTTACCTGTCCCTTTAGGTGACTGAGCACAAATGGCAAAGCAAGCTCCCAAAATTCCCCCAAGGGCTGTAGAAAGCTGCAATTTGGCTGCACTCCAGCGATCGAACCCAGCACGAAGGAGGATGACAAAATCTCCCACCTAGACAGACAGAAAAAAGAGCGTTTAGCAGTGATGAAATAATGTTAGAAGTAGCTAGCACACCACTGCTGGATCCTTCCCACTTCTGCCACCTATCAAATTTCACAGACCTCTCCCCAAAAAAGGACCCAGTTCTCAGCCTTAGAATGAAAATGCAGAGGTACCAGGAAAAAGAACACTGGTTAACTCACATATTCTAGCTACATAGGAGGCAGGAGCTCTTTTAAGTTCGCTGATTGGTGAGAAGGGATTTGAAGGAACAAGCATATTCCCCACTGACCAACGGTACTGCCTGGGGCCAGAAAGATACACATGTACATTTGCAAAAAGATCAGTCGCACCTGAAACATTAAAAGATTCTATCTGGCATAAAGTTTTCTGAACTGCTTCCCACTTCATCGGGAGCACTGAGTGTTGTTACTGAAGATTGGGTGAAGGGGGAACGGGTAGGGGCTGTAGCACAGAAGGTACATGTGCTGGCAATTGTTTTAGCAGTGGTCACGTGACAAGGAATAGTTGGGAGACAGCACAGATATCCTAGCAGATTAACATGTGTGCTGGGTTGAAAAGCCTTTGTCCATCCAAGTTCCAAGAGATAATCCAACTTACTGGAGAATTTCAATTTCTTTTTGCATGTCAGTTCCCCAACATCTCTGCTCTACCCAAGCATCTGTATAAATATCTAACAACCGAAGTAACACTACATACACCTGATGAAGTGGCACATGGCCCACAAACACTGATGCCAAATAAAACCTCTTTTCTTTAAGGTGCCACTAAACTCTTGGTGGTCAGCTCTTCTCTACAAGTAAATACAGTATGTTCACATTCATCTTTTTTGCCTCTGTGTTTCCTGCCGCCTCAGGCTAGTTGGAGATTTTGGTTTTGCCAAAACCCCAGGGAGCGCATGTTCTTTTGAGCCTGATGAAAAGAAAAAACCACCAGTGTCTTCAAAGGTTTTCTGTACAGATGATAGGTACAGATGCAGCATGATACTGGATAGAAAAAAGAAACAGATGCCCTCACATTCTGGGGAGCCCCCTGAATCCATCTGGACATGGTCCTTGAAGCCAGGTGCCACATAAATGGCAAGCCCTCCCTCTCCTAGTAGAGGGGCTAACTTGACTGAGGGTACAATCAGACGGCGGGAAAGGCACACATCTGATCGCACTGAAAAGAGTAGCTTTGCAGGGTGCTATTTGCCTTAAAGTGGCCCAGCTGTCTGCTGGGGAATCCCTCCCACCTGGCCTCCAAAAGTAGCAGCCCTACGGCTGAACCCAAAAGGTCCAGCTTGGGCATGGATCAGGGTCAGGCTGGAGGACAGTTTCCTGTATGTTGTGTGATCAGTAGGAAATAGATTGCACCACACCGCTACCCAAGAGGTTCAAACTGCCATCTCCTTCCCCATGTGATCACAACCCTAAGAAATTACACTGTCTTTATAGAATAGACTCCCTACAGTGAAATGGGCAGAGTGGAATGAAAGACACCCCCTTTCAAAGGGGCATGTGTAGGGAACAGGCGCTGCATGCGGAGTAGCATAAATCCTTCTCTGACCAGGCTATCATGTTATCATCTTGTTAAACTAAATTGCTTTTAGAACAATAGGTTTGAAAGTTCAGGATGTGATGTGTGCTTTCTCCCCCTATACTTTTGGGTCCCATTAAGCTAGTAGCATGGCGTCTATAAAATAGTGTATGTGTTTTACACTGCAATTTTCCAGTTCAGTACACCTCTCACACTCTGTCAATATTCTAACTGTAAAATCAGAATGAAAAAGGCTGGGATTTTTTTAAAATGGTGTTTTAAAAAATCATGTTACACAAAGCATTTTTGGTGCTTTCCATATATGGAAAGATATGCTCTCCTCCCTCAAAAACCCACCATCCCAGGCAGACACGGCCATAAATTGCAACAGCATTCAATGGCCAGTATGCATCATAAGCCTCACTCACCTCATGGGGGATTTCATGCAACAGGATTGCCATAGTGGTCAGGAACCCAACCTACGTTGAAAGAGGAAAAAAAAGGTGAAGCCAGTCCATGCATTTCAACAAGGCTCCAAGCCTCACAGTGCAAAATGTCTCCCGAGACGTTTCACACGTGATGAAAACACAATGCTGACACAAGAAGGCAAGTTTAAGTGGCACAAGGTTCTTATGTACTGGATCTTAAAAAAGGAATATGGGAGAAGGCTGAAGCTGTTCCCTACACGTTACACAGGTGTTTTGTCAGGGCATAAAAATGTTATAAAAATCGTACACCTGAGAAAAATGCATAGTCATCCAGGCCCCTTTGCCTCCTTCTCTTGCATCGCAACCACACCCTAGCTTCTACCTGCCTCTCTCCCCGCCCTCCCGAACCAGCCAGAAGGACACGTACCTTCCTGCTAACCAGAAAGCTGGCTGCCACTGCGAGGCCGTGTGTGAAATTGTCTATTGTGTTGGCCAAAAGATTGAGGTATCCGCTGATCTGCAAAGTAAATGAAAAGAAAACCAGGGACTCCCGTGATCAAACGACATGCAGGAGAGCGTGGAAGAGGTTTGTTTTCAGAGAAACATTCCATTTCTCCCCGCTTGTCACACAGCCCCTCAACCCTGTTTACCTTGATTTTCTGGGGTGATGGTGAAGGTAAGTGAGAAGAACCGTTACTCTGTGGTGAGCCCAACTTCTTTCTTTGGACTGGATTGGATGCCTCTTTCAAAGGGAAGCTGCTCCCATTTGGAATCCTTCTGGAAGGTTCTTTGGGATCACTGATCTATGACAGAGGGAAGGAACGGTTCTTTTGTTTCAATTCATCACAGTGGTTTGAGATCATTCTTACCCCCCAATACCACCATTTTAGGATTTAATAAAGTGAGCACATCCAGATGTGCTGAACTGCATCACATATCATTCCCAGCCAGCGGAGCCTTACATAGAACTGCACTTGTTAGATAAAAACAAAGGCTGAAATCCTGCTTGCACAGTGATAGCACAGTGATTTTTCAGAAATCAAACATTTCTGATTCCTCCTCCAAAAGTCTCAAGGAAGTTGTTGGGGGCTGAGGGATGGGGAGGTACTTAACTTTGGAAAATTGCTGCCACTTGCAATGATTATATCAGCAGTGGCAATTATGAGAAATTAAAGACTCCCACCCTGGTCTGTGGTCCCCAATGTCTTCTCTTGATGAAGAGGATTTCAAGAGAGCCTCGGAACCTTTTGGGCATGGATGGGAAATGTCCACTTCAGGAGCTGATATTGTCATCAGCCTTAAGCTGCTGGGTTTCAGTCTATATATGTTTTGCTGGAACAACTGATTATGAGAGTCATAGGCTGCAAACAAGTATCATGTTTCCAGCCATCCTAAAGGTAAAGGTAAAGGTTCCCCTTGACAATTTTGTCCAGTTGTGTCTGACTCTAGGGGGTGGTGCTCATTCCCATTTCCAAGCCATAGAGCCAGAGTTTGTCCGCAGACAATCCTCCGTGTTCGTGTGGCCAGCGTGACTAGACATGGAACGCCGTTTACCTTCCCACCGAGGTGGTACCTATTTATCTACTTGCATTTTTTTGCATTTTGCATGCTTTTGAATTGCTAGGTGGGGGGGGGTTGGGACAAGTGACGGGGGCTCACTCCGTCGCATGGATTCTATCTTACGACTGCAGGTCTTCTGACCTTGCAGCACAGAGGCTTCTGCAGTTTAACCCGCAGCGCCACCACGTCCCTTTCCAGCCATCCTACTCAGCCCTAAAAAAACAACTCACTGAAAATTAAAACACTGAAACAAAAACACTTTGTAATTGCAATAAATTATGCAAACACCCTTTCAAAGACTTGTGCTAAATAAAATGTGATAGTTTTCAATGTGCCACTAGATTCTTTGCCGTTTTTTATGATCACCCATATCTATATTATAGGTAAAGGTAAAGGTTCCCCTTGACAAATTGTCCAGTTGTGTCTGACTCTAGGGGGCAGTGCTCATCCCAATTTCAAAGCCATGGAGCCAGCGTTTGTCCGTCGACAGATATGTTAAAAGTTTCCGTAGTCACGTGGCCAGCACGGCTAGACACGGAACACTGTTACCTTCCCACCATAGTGGTACTTATTTATCTACTTGCATTTTAACATGCTTTCAAACTGCTAGGTTGGCAGGAGCTAGGACAAGCAACGGGAGCTCACTCCGTTGCGTGGATTTGAACTGCTGATCTTTCAACCTTGCAGCCCAGAGGCTTTGTGGTTTAACCCTCCTGACTATTGCTGTTAATCAACAGTTGTACTTTTTGCATATCTGTTCCTTCTAGCCGTACTGATAATGATCTCCCATGAACAAGAGTTCACTGAGAGATAAGACTCTGTCTCTTATAATCTGGATTGGAGAGAGGCTTTTCATCATCCTATATATGTTAATCTGTTTATCTGTCAAGGTTTGAAATGATGCATGTATAGTGTTAAAAAAAGTAGAGTGGTATAAAAAAGTAGCCCTGAAAATGAGAGTGCTTTTAAAATTGAGGCTTGAACAATAGTTTATTCTAGTCATTTTGAAACAATTAGCTAGCTCTCCAGCCGAGTAAGGTCACTGTATCATAACATCCTGACAGCTGAACATGTTTATGCTACAATTTGTAAGCACACGGAAGGCATTTTCAGGACTTATAATATCACTTTTTCTAATTATACAATGTTCTGTCATTATAATATTCTGGCTTTCCAGGTTTCTGGGATATCAGCTCTTTTATGCTACAGTCCTTTGTTGCTCCAGGCTCTGCAAAATTTTTTAGTCATAACGATGATATTATTGTTATTGTGGCAGCATAACAGATATTAAGTTACAAAACTCTGGAGTTACAGTAGGTGCAACAACAAATAAGATTCCCATTATAAAATTTTCTTGGAGCTCAAGACCGCTGGATCTCCAAGCTCCTAGAAAAAAGACTGTTTACTCCTATCATAGTTCACTCACCAAGTTGAAACTATCTTGCTTTTCATTATCTGGAAATATCTTCTGCAAACTCAGGAAGGTCAGTAAGCCAATAATCACCCAGAGGCCTAAAAGCTTCTGCTGCTGGAAACTCTGCCCTCCTCCTTGAGTGGTTAAAAAACAGGAGAGAAGAAGAAAAAGGTAGAGCAAACTGTTTCTGCCATAAGGTTGAAAATCACAGACCTCAAAGACTCCCTTCTAGATATAAGAAAAGTAAAGTGGATCCTTAGAGGACCCTTCATTGCTTCAAAAGGCCATCAGGGCCAAGTGATACAATCCTACAGCATTAAACATGCAGCCAAATCTAGACAGTGTTGTTAAAGAAGTGATGCATTTGGTACATATTTTCAGTTGTGGTGGGAGTGTGAGAGGGTAGAAAATTTTGGAAACTAATTACTGAGGAATTAAGAGATATTTTTGATAGAGATATAATGTTGGATCAAGAAATGGCTTTGTTATAAATATTTGTTACTGAAGATTATGGTTTTACAACTGGAGAACTACTTATTAATTTATTGTTTGCTGCAAAATTAATTATAGCTAGGAATTGGAACTCTAAACTTGAATCTCAACTGAAAGAATGGTACAATGGAGTTTGGAATCTTGCTGTAAATGATAAATTGACTTGTATTTTAAAAGTTAAGAAAGGGGAGATAAAAAAAGATACTTTTTATGATATATAGGGTAGATTTATTGAATTTGTGTTAATAAGAGGAAGAGGTAAAGTCCCAATACAAGGATCAATGCAGTTCTGGAAAGGAGGACAATGAGAAGAGCCCTCGAGAAGATACCAATGGTGGTGGGGAGCACCATTATTTTAGTTTGTATCTTGTAAAATAATCAATCAATCAATCATAACAAACAAACAAACAAACAAACAAACAAATAAAAGAGATGGACTGCTCAACAAAGAACAGTGATCAAATAAAAGCAGCAGAGCACATGGGCTTTTTACATGTGAACTTTCCTCACGGATCACTGTGCTGTGCTGGGTGACTTGCACACTGACACAGAGCACAAATCTCTTGCAAAGAATATGTGTCAGCAGGCCACAGACAGATGATCTCCATTACTGCACACACCTCAGTAGGATTAAGAAAGGGATCAGGGCTGTTGCTGAGACTACATTTCCCCAGCATAGAATATCTACTTTCCCATGCACAGTGCCATCAGGAACTGCCATAGCTAAGCTTTGGGTCAAAGACCCCTTCTACGAACAAGGATGGGTCCTCGGCAAGTTCCAATCCGATCACTGGCCATTTCCAATGACTGCCTAGCACTTGTTGTTATATAATCTCAAGGCTAGAGCACTGTAACACGCTCTACGTGGGGCTACCTTTGAGGCTGATGTGGAAACTTCAGGTGGTGCAGAATGCAGCGGCCAGACTCCTTACTGGAGTGGGAAAACACCAACATATTTCTCCTGTTCTGGCCATTCTGCACTGGCTGCCCATCTGTTTCCACATTGACTTCAAAGTTCTAATGCTTACCTATAAGGCCCTAAACGGTTTAGGACCTCGATACTTGGCAGAGCGCCTGCTCCCACCAAGATCTACTTGGATCACCCACATGAGTCAGGAGGTGAGCCTGAGGAGCCTGACGCCGAGGGAGGCCCGGAGGGAAAAGACATTAAGTTAGGCCTTCTCGGTGGTGGCTCCTCGCCTTTGGAACAACCTTCCTCTGGAGATTCGCGAGGCCCCTACGCTGGGTATTTTCAAATGCCAGCTGAAAACATGGATGTACATCCAGGCCTTCCCTCCTGTGAACTACTGATTTCTTTTGCTGTGCTATTTATTATTTATTTATTCATGCACTATTTGTTATTGTTGTATGTGAATGTTTTTATGTTTGTTTGTTTTTAATTGTTTTTGATATTCTGTAAGCCGCCCAGAGTGGTAGAATATACCAGATGGGCGGGATATAAATCGAACAAATAAAATAAAATAAATAAAATATGCCATAAAGCTGGAACTGGCTTATAGCCATCCTAACATAGCTTTCAAGGTAAGTGAGATATTTAAAGAGAGGTTTTACCAAATCCACACCCCCTGAGCAGGGATCCGAACCCAGGCTCCTGAGTCCTAGTCTCTCACTCTACCCACTATACCACACTGGATATAGTGCCTAGCAGTTACTATTAGTAATTTTTTTTGCCAAGGAAAATAAATATTAATTTGGAACCCAGTTCTAAACAAAGCTTCCAGGGTAGCAAAGCTCAGCTCAGTTCCATATAACAGTTATTATTTTTTTCAGTGATTTATTTCATTGATTTGTACACCACCCCATCAGTGCAATGCACTATTCTGGGCGGTGAACAACTGATAAAATCAAATAAACAATGGGAAAAGACCAATGAAAATCATAAAGATAAAAGTCAGATCATACAAATAACAGTGATCTAAAGATATAAACCAGAGCTCAGATCCATGCAACATTTTCCATATTTGAAATAACATCTCTAATTATCTCTAATTGATAATTATCTCTAATTGATTATCTCTAATTATCTAATTATCTCTAATTGATGATCAGAGATAATAACAGAAGCAGTTTGCAAGCCAAATGGAAAAGTCTCACCAGCTACATCCAGCCATTGGGGTGGAGGTTCCACCTCTCTAGTCTAGACAGATTTAAATCTACCCAGTAGGGCTCTTCTTTTGTTGTTGAGCAAAGGCAAAAGGTAAAGGTTCCCCTTGACAATTTTTGTCCAGTCGTGTTCGACTCTAGGAGGCAGTGCTCATCCCCGTTTCCAAGCCATAGAGCCAGCGTTTTGTCTGAAGACAATCTTTTCTGGTCCCTATTTATCTACTCGCATTTGCATGCTTTCGAACCGCTCGGTTGGCGGGAGCTGGGACAAGCGACGGGCGCTCACTCCGTCGGGTGGATTCGGACTTACAGCTGCAGATCTCCAGATCTTACAGCACAGAGGCTTCTGCGGTTTAACCTGCAGCGCCACCACATCCTACAGCGCCTGTAGCGCCACCGCGTTTGTTGTTGAGCAAATGCAAGACTTAAGAGCTGAGGAATAAATAATCTGTTTTAAGATTAAATCTGTTTCCTGCAAATGCACTCTTGCTTTATACATATAAGAGTAGACCATGAAAACTCTAGTTGCTGTTTTTAAAAGGAGTCTCACCCCTGCCAGTTCCCAGCCCTGAGATCTGAGAGCAAGTTCCACCATTTCCGAACAAGGCAGCCAGTTCTGAGGGATGCTGGGAGATGTGGTGTGACATCTGGGGAACCAAACATGGGAACAGTTGCCTTAGAGAGTAACTGACTGAGCCCAAAATGAGTTTTCACACGTAACAGCTTTTTCCCCAGTTGCCCAATAAGCAGGTTATACACAGATACACAAGATTGGGAAGGGGGAGTTAAATTACTAAACCTTCTTACTGAGAAAACATACAGTACCCTTCAGATCAGGAGGAGGAGTTAAATTGAATGTTATATGCCATGAAGTCAGTGATTCCCAACCTTGGGTTCCCCAGATGTTCTTGAACTAAAACTCCCAGAAGTCTTTACCACTATCTATGCTGGCCAGGAATTCTGGGAGTTGGAGTCTTAAGAACATCTGGGAACCCAACGGTGGGAACCACTGCTCTAAGCCTTGAATACAGGATCTGGTACAGAATCTGGGTCTTCAAAGGGCCAGGTTTCATTTTAACATATACTCTTATGGTGTGGGAAAACCTTGAAAATGAGATGTATCAGTAGTAAAGCATATGGGTAACGTTCTCTCTCCTAGCAATAAAACCCTAGAATTTTAAACATGCAGCCAAATCTAGCCACAGGTGTGGCTAGACTGTGAAGCTTATACCATCGCCTACTGCCTTGAATCCTTATTGCTTATCTAACCCCCACCCCACTCTTGGGAACTCTGCCTGCCTGACCTCTTCTAGTCCAGTTCTTGTGCCAGAAAGCTGGTTCCTTGAATACGTGGATGTTGTTGTTATGTACCGTCAAGGCACCTCTGACTTATGCTGACCCTATAAACGAGAGATTCGAAAATGCCCTCTCCTCAAGAGCCCTCTCAACTCTTGTAAACTCAAGTCAGGGACATCCTTTAGGGAGTCAATACATCTCCTATTTGGTCTTTCTCTTTTTTTGCTGCCCTTAGCTCCTGCTGAATATCCAAGTACGGCAGGCAAATGTGCTACACTCTAATCCTTTGAATTAGTCTTCTTTTACACAAGAACAAAACTGAGATTTCTTGGGCAGAGAAATGCCAGCATCTCTTGTTACAGCCATGCACATCTATCATGGCAAATTTAGAAGCTACACCCATTTAAACAGCATGCACAGGCATGAAACCCACAACTTGGAAAAGATTGTTCATCCGTCTCCCACACCCGGCCAAGTTCTCGGCCTAAGGGCACAAAATGTGCCTTTTGATCCACTTCACACCCTCTGTTCAAACTGACTGCAGATAAGTGAGAAAGACAAGTTAGAGGCAATACAATCCTAAAACTCAAACGACAGAGATAAAAGGCTTACAAGAAAAAACAGACGCATTCCAGAAGAGTCAGCCAGAGGGACACGTTCAAGAGAGAATGCTCTGGCAACTTCAAGGCATATGACAGTGTAAAGACAGAGGTGCCACGCTCCGTGGGCCCTTGAGAGCAAGGCCAGGAAATTTTGCTCCTACTAATCAAGCAGTTAATTATAGGGCCATGTGGCACAGCAGCTCCACCCATCCAGGATGGTAAAACACAGTGAGGCAAATATGAAAGACCGTCCTGTTCTGCTCCTGTTTTTCTTTAGGCCTCCCCAACTAAGTGCCCTCCAGATGGTGCAAGGCTGCCACCACATTCTGGCTATGACTGATGACATTGTGGGCCTGGGGATCCAGAACATGCCCTGTCGGGAAACAGTGGCCTCTGGAAACAAACCGGCTGTGCTTAATCTTTCTTCTTTACGAAGCAAGACTTCTTCTCACCCTCCAACACTGTTATTGGCAAAAGCCACATCAGTGAGGGAATATTGTCTCTTTTGAGAAGAGACTGAGGAGGAAATCCAATCCCAGAATCCAGCAGCAAACTACACAGGTGTATCTGACACAGACCACAGTGCCCAGCCTTGTTCATTGATGCCTGGCACTTGCTCTGCGATTCCAGGGTACCAATAAGGTTTCAAGTGTTACCTGCTGTGGCACTACAGGTGTATGACCAGGCCTCAGGGAGCAGGTGCAAAAACACATTTCCCAGAAGACCCCCAATAGCAAAGCTCAGCAGCTGCTTCATTCGACGAGATCCCTCTGAAAGACAAAACAGCAATCAGTTCCTGCAGGGCACGGGCTTATACTACTGGCTCCTCAAAAGAAACTCAAGGAGACATCGACATGCATACAATTCAAGCTCTCATAGCACAAGATCATGGTGCTTCCTCTACTGCCAAAGAAACACTGGCTCTGGGAGATCAATTGCAATATTTAGGAGCATTTGGCGTCTGCATTTCTCAGATCAGGAAAAGCAATACACTCACAGGGAACTCAAGCCAGCTGTGCCAGGATCAGAGGCAAATACACCTGGTGTATTGAAAAGAGGGCATGGCCATGGGTATTCTCTAGTTCTGATTAAATGCCATAAACATATGCATTGGTACAGGGAGCCACATCCTTTCAATTCTTTTCCATTAACATATACCTTTCTTAACTCTTATTATTGCAAAATGGGTGGGTAATACCTGGGAAAAATGGAAAAGCCAGCAGTTTGAAAGGCTGGACAGCACTTTTCTGTCTTGCATTCTGCTCTTTTCTGCAATTTGTTGTAAATAAATCATACAAAATGATGAATGTGCATCATTTATTCAAGTTACAGGGTGATATATGCCACTGTTGCTATGAGGGTTACAAGGAGATACACATCTACCGGGTATTTTGTGCTCTAAATGTCAGAATATCTGCTGGTCAAAAATGTCACATGTGCATTCCTGGGAATCCAACTGTAGCCCCGGTTCTATGCATCTTGTGTGGCCGAACAACTTGACAGAACAAATTGCTCCGGGAGATTTCAGTAGGTAGCTTTCCTGGGCCACGAGCAGGACCTCAGCTCTTGCATTTAAAATGTGTACTACTCTCAATAAATGCTGACCGGGAGGTCTAGCCAGAAAAAGGAGCCAGACTGCTTATGTTCCAAGAGGAGACGGCCTACCTTCGGACTTCAGAGCTGCCCCTGTCTCTAGAGGAATGATCAGCAGAGGAAGAACGCCACTCAGCCCGACCATCACTGAGCCAATCAGAGAGCAGATCCAGGCATCCAGGCGGTCTTCACTGAATATAGCTCCCCAGGACTCTGTCTCCTTTTCACACAGGGAGTTAGCCCCGCTGGTAGTGTGGCCCAGAGAAAGATCATGGGCCCGGCAGGTAACAGCAAGGAATAAGGGGGAGAGCATTCCAGGGAGAAATAGTCCTCGTCCCATCATTGCTTCAGCCAGGCTGGTTGATCCCTGCAGGGAAGAAAAGGAAGAACAGATTAGCATGCTGTGCCTAAGACTCTTCAGCACTTCTCTTGCAACACCACCCATGAAAACTCAGCCCTCTCGAGGCTTTCGTTTTATGTCCCTGAGTCAGCTTTTCAGCTTCCTTATCCCCATCAGAGAGAAGAAGGATGACACTTTTTTATTTTCTTAAACAAGGAACTCTCTCCGTGTGATGAGAGGCTCCTGAACAGCTACCCTGTGCTTGACTCCACAGAACGAAAGAGAGTCACTGCCACACATCTCAATCAAGAATCCTTTTTCTGTTCCTGAATTTAATTTTCATCCTGGCAGAGTTGCGTGAATGTGAGCGAATCCTTAAAAAAAAGAAGGCACATATATATCTGCGACATGTATCTATGTGGAAAAGTCGGTTCTTATTGAGAAGGTTAGGAATGTGATCCAATCAGACAAAGAAAAAAGGCTCGTCTACCCCTATCAAACATAGACATTAAGGATTAATCCATGCTCTCTTCCTAGCCAGTTACAATAATTACAACGTGTATACGAGTCCTAATTAGAACAGAGGCAAATTGGCCACCTGACCACAGGTTGGCGAGAGGTCCAAATAATAAGAGAGCTGTGTGGAGTCAGCTCAAGTATTGCCATAAGAACAACAGCCTAGCTGGAAACTCTTCAAAACAAGTCAATGGATTCTGTGGATGTTATAGACAAAGCGGTTGGGATGTTGGGTTAAATATGGAGACCTGAATCCAACTGGTAATCCCAACTATAGTAGGCCCACTGAATCAATGGCCAAATTTGATCCACAGAGGTATCATTTGTGGATTCCCCAAAGCCAACTTCTGTCAATTCACTGCATAATCATTCATGCTGGGAACATGCAATCAATTTGGCAATCAAATACAGCATAATGCTCAGCACATTTACACTGGTGTAAGTTTACATTACGCCAGCATGAACAGGTCGTCAGGATTTACACAAGTACTGACTGAACATTCAGCAACTGGTTTAATGGATTTATTCTGATCAGGCCTTATCAAATGGATTTTCGCTGAAAAATCTCAGGTTCAAATCCACATTCAACTTGCTGAATGATCAATCATAATCTCTCAGCCTCCTTCACAGGACTACGGGGAAGACAAGCCAGCTACGTATGTCACCTTGAGTTCCTTAAGAAAAAGAGGAAGGATATGTTTTTTGTTTTTTTTAGAAAAACAAAACCAAAAAAACAGCTGGTTTTCTAGCCCTTCCCAATTCCCAGGGTCAAGGCTTGTAGTCATGACCCACAGACTGGAAAAAAATTGAATCAGATCACATTCCATAGTGACACATTAAAGGCAAAACCATCTCATGGTTTGCTGGACAACAGCTGTGTTCCCTAGAGGCATCTTACCCAAACTGTGAAAAGTTTCTGAAACAGAGACTTGAATATATGTGATATAATTAAGATGTCTCTAGGTCAGAAAGAACATGCAGCCATGGTGGAGTGGAGGGAAGGAGGTAAGACCAAGGGGGAAAAAAACCCAGTAAAAGATAGGTGCTGACTTTTCAGATGGTACATAGTAGTAAGGGGAGAGGAGGAACTAAATAACCTTGTAATGAGGGTGAAAGAGGAGAGTGCAAAAAACCGCCTGAAACTCAACATCAAAAAAACTAAGATCATGGCCACTGGTCCCATCACCTCCTGGCAAATAGAAGGGGAAGATATGGAGGCAGTGACAGATTTTACTTTCTTGGGCTCCATGATCACTGCAGATGGAGACAGCAGCCACAAAATTAAAAGACGCCTGCTTCTGGGGAGGAAAGCGATGACAAACCTTGACAGCATCTTAAAAAGCAGAGACATCACCTTGCTGACAAAAGTCCGAATAGTCAAAGCTATGGTTTTTCCTGTCGTGATGTATGGAAGTGAGAGCTGGACCATAAAGAAAGCAGACCGCCGAAGAACTGATGCCTTTGAACTGTGGTGCTGGAGGAGGCTCTTGAGAGTCCCCTGGACTGCAAGGAGAACAAACCTATCAATTCTAAAGGAAATCAACCCTGAGTGCTCACTGGAAGGACAGAGGCAGTGGAAGATAGGAGGTCCTGGCGTGCTCTGGTCCATGGGGTCACGAAGAGTTGGACACGACTAAACGACGACGACGAGTAAGGGGAGAAGAGGCCTTACGTGATTTAGATTTCAATCTTACATTTACTGGGAATAAAGTCTGACTGAATTTGGCAGGAGTTACCTATGAGAAGACAGGCCTAAGATTGCATAGCTGAGCTGCAATCCTAAACATACCTAATCATAATCATCAACATGTGTCATCAAATCAATTCTGACTTATGGCAAACCTTTTCAGGGTTTTCTAGATAGAGAATATTCAGAAATGGTTTGCCATTTCTTTCTTCTGGAGGCATTCTAGGACTATGCAGATTGCCCAAGGTCACACAGGCTGGCTCTACTCACAGGAGGCCCAGTGCAGAATTGAACTCCGAACCTCTGGCTCCACAGCCAGATCCTAAACCACTGAGCTATCCAAAACACACCTACTTCTGAATAAAAATTGGTCTGTCCTTCTCAATGCTGTGTCAAGCCTGTTTGTCTCTCATGCCTAAAAGCCTAATGCTACTCCAGTCCCAGTAACTATGCAGTGAACACAACCCAAAGAGTAAACTTGCACCAAGCCCAAGAGAGAGAGAGAAAAAAAAAGGAGAAATAAATCCAAGTATTTATTTAGGACGTTCTGGAAACTGCTGAGCCTCCCTAGCGCAAGATTTCCAATCTATTCTAGAAACGGCCTTCCTCCAAAGCACCTGGAAAGTCCAGCTCAGCTCTCCCTCCAGCAACTACTATCCCACAGGGTCAGAATTTCTTCTTCTGCAGCCTCCTTCCCCAACAACTTTGCCATCACTGACCATGCGGCTGTAACATTTCCCCCCCCCCTTGGATGACACAACCATGCAAAGAAAAATTACAGATACTTTGAGCTGGAAGTCCACGGCTGGCCCCTAATTATACCAGTGAGTCCAGACAAAATGTCATCTTACTCCCTTGCAACGGAAGTAGAAATAGCAACAAGCACATTCTCTTCCAGAACTATTTTACAAGTCCAGCAGTGTGTGCCTGGAATCCGACTGGAAATCCTGACCTTCTGCCAACAACTATAAGCCTTTGCAGCTCCCAGTCACAGTAGCTAATTCAGCTGAGATTTAAAACTTCTCCCCAGGATTTTCTATGCACAGGATCTTTCCTAAATATTGACCCATCAATTCTCACCAAGTCCTGCTTACAAAACGATTGCACCTCTTTTCATATTACTTCTGACTTTGAAAAGCACCACAATCCTCCTGAATGTACAAAACAGTACAGCAATGGAGAGACCTATTCCAATATTGCAAGTGAATATGGAATGAAAATGTTTGGTTCATTCCGATCTATCCTTTGAATCAAGAGGTGAACTGGGTTTCTCAAAAACTGTCTCCCAAAAGCCCCTTCAAATGCAAACATCTCTGCATCTTAAACATGTTTCTTTACACCCAGATACCACATTAGACACAGGGAATGGCAAGAGGCAATGAGAGCACTGCTATCCAGCTACTGGAATACTTATTCTGTCCTCCCACCAGCTTTTCAACAATCATGTCAAGGTTTGTTACAACTTTACTGGCTACTAGTCCATTTTCAGCCAAAATTCAAAGTGCTGCTTATGACCTGTAAAGCCTGGAATCTTTCGGCAAGTGGAGATATCATCTAGTGAACGATCATGTAACCAGCAATTCTTGAAACAGACCCTTCCCTGAGCCTACTCTGCATTTCAGAAAGAGGAAAGAATCATACTGTCCTCTGGCTCACCTGCCTATCATAGTTTCACCATTAATATAACCAAGAGCCACTGACAGTCCTAGCTTTTTCTTCTGTCTAATTGCCTCTAAAGGCTATATAAAAAAAACCCGACCCACTAGTAGCCACCTTTTCCCACACTATTCAAAGACTCACAAATCTCTGTAATGTCCCCCTTTATTACAGGCCTAAAAAGAAGCATGAACCAAGTTAACACACTACCATCCACTATAATCCTCTTCTTTTTCTCAGAAAACTGGCAGAGTGGGCTTCCTTCTGAATAAAAAAAAAAATCAAGTTATGTGTTTTATTATATGTTACCTCCTGTACCCTTCAAGCATTCCAAATGATGAAAATTCTCAAATGATGTTTACCAACCATACACTGGTACATGTGACTTCCCTGTAGACAGGGTGAAGACTGATTGAGGTGGGAGCCTCAGTGTAGATGCCCCATTATGTTTCTCATTTCTAAAAATCTCTATCAAATGACATATCTGCTGAAGTTTGCAATGAAATCTTGCAGGTTCTTATAGTTCTTTCCACTCTAGTCTCTACGTTAACCATTAAGTAATGTGCTTTTGTTCTTAACAAGTTAGTTACTCCCACACTGATCAAGTTCACATAGCCCTGTTTCTTGTCCCACTAACAGGGCATAGCAAGAAAAATTGGACAGCCATAAATTGTTGTTTTGAATTGATCACCTCTTATGTGTGTTTAAGCCAACAGTAAGAAATGTGCACGCTTCCAGAGGATGTTGGACTGCAGCTCCCATCATGCTTCACTACTGAGTGAGCTGGGGTGATGTGAGTTGTAGCCCAATGACATCTGGAGAGCCATACCTTCCCCAATCTTGATTCAAGCTTCACATAAAACTGTCACAAACACTACATCTTTCATTGCCATTTCACCCATTCACCATTTTTCTCTACATTCATAAGCATAATACCTACTACAATGACAAAATGAAACCCGGTCTACAAAGATTTATGCCACAATAAATGTATTAGTCTTTGAAGTTCCACAAGATACTCTGTTGCCTGTCCCAGTATCCTACCTCTGACAAAGTCCTCAATTGTGAACAGCTATAGCACGAAAAACCTCCATCACACGACACCCACTTCACTTTATTTCCAACACAGGTGCTTTCAGGCCATTTATTTTACACTGAAACCCTTTCTTGTAAATTTATCTAAATTTTGAGCTATGACCAACTGACATGCTAAAGCTGCAATCGGTGATGAAAAATAGGGAAATCAAGATTAAATGCTTCAATGGGACAATGTCTGAGCTTATATGAGAGAAACTCACATTGAAGCAACTTCCATGTGGATATGCACAGAAGTGAGCAATACAGATCTCCATGTCCTCTGGCTGCAATCAAATTCCACTTGCTGTCTCAGTTACCCAAGAAAAGGTAAATGAGCAGGGAGATTATTCAAACTGGAGAAGTGGGAAATGATTGATACTTAAGCAAACCAACCTAACCAGTCGCAACTGTGTGGTTTGGGTCAGAACTCTACTTTATAGTTATATGTTATTTTCCTTTGTGGAATGCTTGAAGGGTCCAGGAGGTAAAAACATCTGGCGACCCAATGTCCATTTCCCCTGGAGGGAGAAGGATTCTAAATCCTGTTCTCTGCCCTGGGAAAGCATGATCAAACTCTTTTCTCTGCAAGTCATCTACTACACAACAGCGTCAAAACCTCAGCATTTAAAAATAAAAACATCAGGCTGCGATGGACGAGCGACAGGGAGAGAGCAGCTAAATGCAATAACGGAAAATGACTACAGGTCGAAAGAGGTGAAGGCTTGACCTCAGGCATCGAGGAAAAGTATGCAGACAGAGTCAGGGCGCTGCAGCCTCGCAGCCAGACATGCTGGAGAGCGAGTGGTTTTATTGTCGCCCGGGCGCAGCCTGCATCTCCCTCTGCCCTCGCCTCTGCTTTTCCATCCTGCTCTCAACTCCGTCCGCACCGTGTCCTCAGGCACCCCTGGATCCCAGCCCGGACAACTTGGGGATCCCTCAACACCCAGGACAAGAGGGTGGTAATAGTGCAGAGTTTCCCTCCAAAAGTCGACCCCGACGCCTCTTCCCCCCTCCCCCCCGGGAAAGGTTCTAGTTCATTACCGTGTGATACCGGGGAGCTCCGGGTTACCCCTGCCATCCAGCTGCGTCTCTGCCCGGGACTCCTCCCGCCCCTGCCAGCTCAGCTCCGCCTCCCAAACTCAGCCACGTCGGTTCCATCCTCCGCGGATCAGAAGTCGCCGGTCCGGCGGACATATTAGGAAGTGCACCGAGCGTCTGACGTCGCCAATGGGGGGGACTAATAGGCGAAGCACCCCTCGTACTCTTTAGTTTTCAAAGCGGTAGGCGTGTTAATCTGTGCAAGCGTCTCCAGGCAAAGCTAAAACAAAACACAGAAACGTAGCAGAAACTTGAAATACGAACTTTTATATTGTATTTCGTACTCTTAGTGACGCTGAAAGAGCCAAAAGAAAAGCAACACGTTTCTGGTCAGAGCACCAATGGGGGACCAGATACGGCGTTACTCTACCGTACAGTTTATAGCGCGCCCATTGCAAGTCGTCGCGCTCGTTCTGTGAAGCTGGCCAAGTGCGTAGTTTGTGTTTCACCCGATGGCTGTCGATTCAGTGTTTCAGGAAACTCGTGCTTTGGTTGGTCCTCATGCAGCCAAAGACAGCGAGGTAGCAAAACATGTCGGCCGAAACGACAAGAAAAGACTTCCAAAGGGTGCTTAAGAAGGTTTCTAGGCAATACAGAGGATGCATCAGGGCCAGTGCACTGCCGAAAAGAGTGCTTTTCTAGCTTGAGTCCTCATGTTGGTGTTGGGCTACAACTCCCAGACTCCCTTACAATTTGCTCTGCTGCGTGGGGCTTCTGGGAGATGAAGTCCAGAAACATTTGCGGGAAATTCAGGTAGAGATTGACTTACCGGGGCTGAGTCAGTGGAGAAAGCAGCTCCATGTTTCTTACCTCTGTGGTCAGTCAAGCTGCAAAAAGCGAAGGGATAGCCCTGAGTCGTGTGGGAATTTGGATTTAGGCACCGGACTTCATTAAACCAGGTCACACTGGCAGCGGCTGTTTCCCCTTCCTCATATGTTTGCCTTCTCAAGGGCAACGACCGCCACTTGCCTGCCTGTTTCCTCTCTGCAGACTGTGAGGGTGGGTAAAGTGTGAAATAGGTCCCAGGTTTAAATTGTCATTCATCAATAAATCACACTCTCAGAGTAGGGAGGGAGAAAAAGGAAAGGTGATCTAATAAATAAAAAATAATCCCCACAGATAGCCAGAGGAAGAGGTTAAAATGCACTCCTAGGAAAAACTGTTTAAAAGAAGTAAATTGCTGCTTCTGAAACCTAGGAGTTTTCTCAGTTTTGGGGGATGAATATCTAGCAATGGCTGGAGAGCTCAGTGAGTTAGGTGTCTGGCTCCAGAGCCAAAGGTTGAGAGTTCACTGTGCCTTCCTTTGAGAAAAGCCAGCTTGCGTGGCCTTGGGCAAGTTGCACAGTCCCAGGGTGCCCCTAGAAGAAGGAAATGGTAAACTACTTCTCACTATTCTCTACCTAGAAAAAACTAGAAGGGGTCACCATGAGTTAAATCAACTTGATGGCACACAGTTGTTCTTGTTAGCATTATCTATCAATGCACACTGGGGTAAAAGAGACGAGAGTGCAGAAGCTCTCGTCGGAGTGCCGTCTCTCCCTAAATAGACCAAAGGAATCCAGACTACTCCGCCTCCTACCTCGCCCCGGATGATACACCAGAGCGTAGATACTCGTGAACTGGAGACAAACCTGTGGGGGTTAAATAGTCTACACAGACAGAACAAGATTTGGCAGGAAAAGAGGAACGAGGGCGATCCCTGGTTGAGGCGGGATTAGGGTATATAAATGTGGGCCGGGACAATATACTGGGTGGTTGGGACTTGATCTGGGTACAAGATCCCTGGACCAGACAATGGGAACAGGTAAAGGTTCCCAGGGTAGAAGCCGACTATCGATGCCGAAGAGGGCTTCCCCAGTGCCGTCGTATTGGGAAGAATCGGAAGCCCGTGAGTGGAGAAAGCGATAGAGAAAGGAGCGAGAAGCTGTGGCCAGCGAATCGGAGGAACGTCGGGCATGGTGCTGGAGGAGGCACGGAGGATGAGATACCTCCAGGACCATGGGGAACCTGTCAGGGAGAGGGATCCACGCTTTGGAGGATTGAGGGAGACGAGGAGACCTTGCTGCTACTGAATGAAGAAGTTGTGGAAGGGGAAATCTCCAGGTATGACTGTCTAGTTCCAGGACCCTGGGAAGTTAAATTGTTAAATCCTTTTGAAACAGAACTTTGGTTGCCCTTGCAAGATCTGTTGGTCTCGTACTGTGAGGGTGGGTAAAGTGTGAAATAGGATCCGTTGGTCTCGCAAGAGAAGTTGTCCAAGAATGCAGTTAGAGAGTTGTTACCTTTGCCAAAAGAAATAAATACAAACACAGATTTTGAATTACAAACGACCCGTGGTTTATTGAACAATTTCGGGGAGGCCGGCAGCGAACCTTCACACACACACAAATGAGAAGTCACATGTTCTCAATTCCAGGTCCAGAAAAAAATTGCGGGCAGTCCTCTTGGGGCTATTGATAGCCTCTCAATTGTTCAGTGACCACTCATGATAAGTTAGTAATGGAGGGCCTGTCTTTGACTGTTGTCTAACAGGTTAAATCAAGGTACTTTTACTGCCTAAGACAGTGCAAAGAATGCTTCTACCAAAAGTCAAAATTCATAGTACTCAAGGTCAATCACACTCACAAAAGAAAAATGCTATGTGGACCTTTTATGCAAAAATGATGAAGCTGTCATACTTTGGGCACAATAATGCTGGGAAAAGTTTAAGGTGGCGGGAAAAACAGGAGCTTAAATATGAGATGGGTTGACTCCATAAAGGAAGCCGCAGCCTTAAGTTTAAAGGAGCTGAGCATGTTTGCTGAGAACAGGACATTTTGGAGGTTGCTCATGCATAAAGTAGTGGTAAGTTGCAGACAACTTGACAGCACATAACAACAACAAATCACAAACAAAATAACTTTTGACCCCATACAAGTCTTTATTAGACTGGACATTACACAGCTGTGGATGATGAAGAAAGAAATGATGGCCAAATGTGGGTGCCAAATTGTTATTTTAAAAGTGAGTTTCAAGATGGCAGCTGCAAAGTCAGAAGTGTAGGTTTGGATTCCAGCTCTGCTATTGCTCATTGGAATGTTTTTCTAAATCTTGTTACAAAGGGTTGCCAATCTTTCAACACCCTCCCCACAACCCCATACCATTTTGCCCTATATTGAAACACAAGATATCTCTTTGGCTGTGGACAGATAAATGTGGCAAACCCCATATCAGATCATTTGGGATAAAATTTCATCTACACTGTAGGTAAGCCAGTTGCAATAAAAAAGCAACAGCAGTAGTGCCTAATGACTGGAGAAAGATATTGACCTCAGTCTGTAGTGTCACTTTGACTGTATGGTTTTCTTTTTCTTTTTTTGTTGGACTATGGAAGATATTTTGAATAGCCCACCAGAACACCATCTATAATCAAAGTTGGACATTTAACATTGCCTGAACAGGAGTGCAAACTGATACTAGTTCTGGGGATGTTTTTTCTTTGTTAGCAAAGCAGGGAAGGAAAGGATTAAATCTTACCTCTGTGCATATTGTGACTGGATAAAAATATCTCTTCCGCATCTACTATTCATTTCATTTTTATCTGATGCAATTCCAAGTGATGTGTTTAACATAGTATCTTCTTTGATACTCTGTCCCAACAGACCTGCCATGGGTACCTGTTATAGTTGAGAAAATGGCAAGGTGATAATATTTTGATAATAATAATAATCTTAGAATTATAGAGCTGGAAGGGACCCTACGGATCATGCAGTCCAGCTCCTGTCAAGGAGGCACAGTGGGGAATCGAATTTACAACCTCTGGCTCTACAGCCAGATACCTAAACTACTGTTCATGTTGTTACTGTTTTGTTTTGTTTTTTAAAATTTTACACAGAATAATATGCTATGTATCAATTTGGTTTGGCTTGGTTTAGTTTAGCAGTCCATGCATTAGCAGTGAAAGTAGACAGTTAAGGCTGGGTGACTCTTCTGTATCTTTCCTATGACTTCCTCCTGCTTGTTTACACTTGCCATGTCTTTATTTAAACTCAAGGTAACAGAAGGGAGGAGACCCATGTTTTAGACACTGGAGGCCAGGACTGAATCACTCCTGGTATGCAAAGATTATGATTTCAGTATTAAGCCATTCTTCTTTCTCCTGCTTCAAGTTTGCACATTTTTTGTGATCTTTGAGTTGTCTAATACAAGTACTACAATAATAAGGTACAAACGTTTTTGGGATTTTTTTGGGGGGGGCTAACATGTTTTGTTAGCATGTTAGTTACCTTTGTTTTCTTATATGCTTGGAGAATACCCCGTTTAGTCATTTAACATGATGCCACATGGAACTGGGACTTTATTCTTCAAGAATTCACCCCTTCCAAATGTGATCTGTTCCCCATGTCATCACACCTTAGATGTTTCTACTTATTCTCCATCGATCTAGGAACCGTTGTACTTCATCGTTTTATCTCTCTATTCACCATGGATAGACAGGAGAAAAGTAGAATCAACCACTATGTGCTTATTTCTTTTTCCAGGTGGGTTTATGGGGCAGTTATATCACATTACTCAATGGAACCCACTTTGAATGTCTGCAGACTTTTCGGTTGTTAGAATTTTAACTATGCAGACATCACAACTTCAGCACTTGGTCAATCTTCACTCTGAAACACACACTATCCAGCCCACTTTTTGTAACATTTTGCCTCATAAAAAGATCTGTAGGTCTGAAATCATTCATATTTTTGTGACATTTGAATCATCCTAAGAACTCAGTTAGTGTGCTTCATTAATATGGATTTTGGAAGTGTTGTAAGTTGTGATCCCATAATGATTTGCTTATGGGTAAGTTAAGCAAAACTGGGTTTTGCTTTTGAGTAGATAAATATAGGATGAGGCATTGTAAGACTGGAATTTGCTAAAGAGCACATTATTGAGTAAGTAGACCTTTTCGACCTTTCGCTGAAGTGCTGTAAAGAGATCATCACAACTGAGTTGTATGAAATCTCTTGTCTTTGTTGGAGGGAAGATGGAGTATGACAGGACATAAAGGATGCAAACATCGTCACATTGTAGAAGAACAAAGGAGACAGGGGCGATTGCAATAACTACCCTGGCATCTCTCTTCTCAGCATTGTAGGAAAGCTGCTTGCCCATGTTGTGCTGAAGAGGCTCCAGGTGCTTGCAGACAGAGTCTATCCAGAATCACAGCGTGGATTTTGAGCTAATAGATCCACATGGTATTCTCCCTCAGACAGTTGCAGAAGAAATGCAGGGAACAACGACAGCCACTCTTTGTGGCCTTCATAGATCTTACAAAGGCCTTTCATTTGGTTAGCAGGGACAGCCTTTTTAAAATACTTCCCAAGATTGGATGTCCACCTCGACTCCTTAACATCATCAGGTCCTTTCATGAGGAAATGAAGGGCACTGTAGTTTTTGATGGCTCAACATCGGATCCCTTTGACATCCGAAGCGGAGTGAAACAGGGCTGTGTCCTCATGCTAACCCTGTTTGGGATCTTTTTTGCAAAATCAGGGAGCTGGACAGGGGACAGATTGTATTTGTCTTCAGTGTGGAAGGGATAGTCACTCTCGAATTGGCCTCCTCAGTCACACTAAGTCCTCCATACAGAGCACGTTACCATAGTCTCTTGAGACTGAAGGATGCCTAAACTAACCTTTTGGACAACAGTTGAATGTAACATATCAGTGCCTCAAAAATCTCATGGATAAATAGTGCCTCCATGTGTTTACTCTATAATATTACTATTCTTGGATTTGTCATATATGGCCTGTCCTCCAAAAAGATTTCAGGAATTAGTTGCAGTACCACAGAATTACCACACAGAGGCACAATTTATCTACATGTTTGTGCCTCTCCAGTCCTTTTGCCTCATGCGCTCTCTTGTATCTCTTCTTTAAAATTGTAATCAGTCTTTCAGTCTATTTGATTAAATGAAAATCTGTTTAATATGCTACCACAATGCTGAAAAAAATGACAGCCAAATTGGAGCAGTTGGGCT